GCCTCAGTGCCACAATCGGCAGGGCGATGGCGGTTCTGCTCCGTCTCGCTTCACCAGGCGGGAAGGCGCCATGGTCGGAGCTCCCGCCGGAGCAGCTGGCCCTCGTGCTCTCCCGCCTTCCCTCCCACACCGACCGCGTCCGCCTCCGCGCCGTCCGCCGGGCTTGGCGCTCCGCCGCGCGCCTGCATCCGCTGCCCCCGCCGCTCCCGTGGCTCTTCCTCCGCGGCGACACCTTCGTCACCCTCCCCGACGGCGCGCGCCACCGGGGAAAGATCGTGACCATGCCACAGTAGGGAACGGCGACGATGCCGTCGGACACCACCACCTTCCTGATCCAGTTGTAGCTGCGGCAGCCGAGGTCGATCTTGAGGCTGCTGCTGCTGATGTGCAGAGGCGTGATCTCACTCTCCCCGGAGGAAGAAGGGTTCGTCGTCAGGTAGCAGCTGCCGTCGCGGTCCACGAGGAAGAACATGCGGCCCGTGGCAGTGGGGGCACGCAAGACGATTTCGTGGCGGTCGAGGGGCATGCGGTGGAGCGCGCCCTCGGGGAGGGCGAGGAAGGTGTCGGCGCGGACGAAGAGCCACGCGAACGGCGAGGGCGGCGGCTGCAGGCGCGCGGCCGAGCGCCACGGCCGGCAGACGGCGCGGAGGCTGGCGCGGTCGGCGTAGGAGGGAAGGCGCACCATTTTGCTGGTGAGAGGGCTTTGGACGCGCACTCTGGCTTTGGTGCGGAAAGACTGAGAGAAAACAACGGTGGGCGTTCATGCGCGTGTTGGCAGAGAGACCCGCATCGTGTTAACAAGCTGAATTTCCTCCAATTAAAACGTTTTCAATCAGGCGGTTGATCATAAAACCGTTCATGATCAAAACTGTTTAGATCATAAAACTTTCTAATGTGCATGTTACTCTCTCTCAGAAAAGAGATATAAAACCGTTTAAATCACTACTTATTTCTTTGAAGAGGAAATACTTGAAAAAAAAACGTTTTACTTTTGCTTCATGTTCATCTCCTTCCTCATGTCTCTACATTTTTAATCTGAACGAACTCTTCTTGCTTCTACGTCCACACTGTTGTTTGATCTTCTCACATCCGATGCTTTCAATTCCCTTCGCATTCACATAATTTCTTTCTTCGGTGCTTCACCTACTGTGTGTCCACTACCAATACGGGATATTCCCGAGCAGAGTTTGATGGATTAAAGTTACAACTCGACAGATAATTTCTTTTTTCTACTCTTTCTGTCATGCTAATTTGTTACTTACTCGGCTACACCTTTCATATCTTCTATCTGTCATTTTATCCGTGCAGATTTGCGGATTTCAGACCATCTGATGCAAACTCTTGCTTATCATTTGTTTTGTCTCACGTATGTGCGGACGATTTAGATGTTACTGAACTTCACTCATCACATGATTCTGGATCCACAACTGCGGAACATGATTTTGTTTCGCAACAAACTTATTTTTACAGATATACAAATTCATATTCATTAATCTGTTACTTCTCTCGATTCATTGACCGTGATCATGTGGTTTATTCGGAATAAAACCATCAACATACTAGGTGATTCTGAAATCTCTTTCTTCCATACTAATTGTTTATCTTTTTCATCGTCAAGTTACGTTATCTGAAACTTGTTGCACTTAAGTTTCATTCATGCTTCTTAACCTAGTCTTGACGTAATTGTGTACTGTAGTTATCATAATCTTATGCATTCTGGACTGACTGCTGATTGTGATACTAATTCTGGCCTAAACAAAATGCCTTTGCTCTCTAATATGAGTATGCCTGCTAATGCAACTTCCTCTGATGTACCTCTGTCAGCCAGGAACGAATATAATAAATTGTCTGAACATTTTTCTCGGCACACCTTTCTATTCCAGTCATCTCTACAAATGTTGATCACCCAATTCCGTTCTTCTAACATTTTTTGCTTTCTTTCTCACATATTTTTCCTTACTTTTTTCAGATGTCAACATCTGCTCACAACCCATAGAAGATCAACATAAGAAGGAACCCGACCCTACTGATACAGCTTACTACAACAGATTGTCAGAACAGTTCAAACAGTACATACTTTCCTGGGACTTGTCTTATACGTATCTTCCTTTTGTACTCTCCTTCTATAACGGCTGTTTCTATTATTTACTAGTATTTGTCTTACCTTTATTTCAGATGGCACAACAATCTTAATTTTACCGACGGCTCATTCGATTCACTTGTTGTTATGTCCGATGTTCCACTTTCCCAGATATTCCTCAGTTTCACTCTATGCCTTCACCACAACCACCTAAATCAGTGGATACTCATGCCTCGGACGATTCTACTATATGTAATCAGCACCTGCCATCTTGTGTGCCAACAAATGAACAAAATGAGGCCGATTCGAGCTAACGTGCACCGACAACTCATATGTAAATCCTCTACCTTCCTACAAATTTACTGTCACAAGTTTATCGATCTTTGCCTCTATATTACTAATTTTAATATTCTTTACCAAGTCATATGACAAGTCTATTCTAGATGTTCAACCTGCAAACACTTTCCGCTTTTGTGCTCTCCAAAAATAATTATATGCATATTCAACACGGACAACAGAAACTATTATGTGCCCATCTATTGGAACATGTCTCAATACTATCACCGAGGATACGATTTCTACAATTTACAGCTGGGAGATGGGCTTCGACATTTGGTATGGAAAGAGTTGGAAGGATGTTAAGAAAATTCAAGCAATGCATGAACTCAATTGCCTATGTGGAGTATGTCTCAATTCATTACTTATATATTTGCAACTTTTTTTGTTATGTTCTATGCATGTAATGTTTTTTTTTTGCAGGTATGCCTCGTCAGAAAAACAGTAAATCCATAAGATCTGAATGCCTTTCCATGATTCGATTGACCCTTTGCAATGACAATCTATGGTAAATCCTTGAGCTTCGGTCTAAATATAACCATCCATTATCAACAACTGATTCTGAAAAGATGCATTGGAAATCCCGTCGTCATATTGATATATACCTTCAAGAATTAATAACCAATATGAGAGAAAACAATGTTTACATATCGAAGGTGTGCATGTTTCTTGATACTTTCTTTGGCAGGATGGAAAACATTCCTTTTACTAAGCGGAGTTTAAAAAATTTAAGTGGTCTTGTCAATAAAGAACTTGCTAATGATTATATAAAAACACATTTGATGTTTTCGATGAGATATGTTCTGAAGATCTTGATTTTTTTCTACCGAGATCAGGTTGAATTACAAAGTAGAATTGAAACATTACACTGGACGAATGGTCGTAGTCGATATAAATATAAATACTTTGGAGATGTTATCACGTTTGATACAACTTACTGAACAAATGTATGTGTCATGCCTTTTGGTCTGTTTGTTGGTGTCAACAACCATTTTCAAAGTATCATGCTTGGAGGTGCTTTCATGTGTCATGAAGCAGGAGAGACTTTTGAATGGGTTTTCTCTGAGTTCCTATCACTTATGGATAAGAAGCATCCCGTCAACATACCAACAGATTCATTTCAGGCTTGTTACGTTTATGTCCTTCTATTTCATAATTATAGGATTACAATATAATGGCAAGAGATTTTCAATACACAAAGAGCCTTTTTGAAGCCCCGCGAGCATGCCGGCCTCGTCCATGACGCTGTCGCGTTGTAGGCAGAGTCTGGTACCAGCGGCATAGCAGAAGACGACGGCGTGCTCGGTGATGTGGTTGGTGCACACGAACGATGGTAGACCTAGCTGATCCCCTAAACATAAAATAATGGAGTAAAAAGAAAATGTAAAAATGATGAACAAAGATTCGATTTTGAACAAACTTCCACCGGAACATAGTCTAGTCTAAAACCAAATTCGACGGATAATTTACATTTACATCCACTGAAATACAATCTAGTTTAAACACAAAGTTAAACCTTACTAACCGGACTTTACGAGGGCCAACCAGTACACCATAGATATCCCACCGCCCATAGCATCTAGCCCTGTGCCGTCGTCGCCGGAGTCCAGGAAGATCCTTCGCTATTCTTCAACGTTGAAGTCGTCGCCACTGTTGCCTCCGCTTCACCGTTGTTGCCTCCTCCGTTGTCTTCCTCTTCGCTTGAGAGGATGATGACCTCCGCTCTGTCGATCGGGCGCTCCTCGTATAGGCGATGCTCCACCAGCCGACAGCAGGGCGTCATGTCGTTTGTGTGGCTCTTTGTCCGCGCCGACACCTTCCTCGCTTCGGTGAAGAAGGAACGATGAAGGTGGCATGTATTCGGCTAACTCTAGTGTTTGTAGGCATCATTAAATGGTTTACGAATATAATTTTTATCGTCTTTTGTGTTCTTTATACCGTCGCGATGTTGGAGGAATAGATAGTAGAAAGTTTTCAAGAAAAATGGCTAGTTGGGTGGTGTCCTGGCGTTTGGAACGGTTATTATGGGAAGTCTCAGGTTGTAGATGTTGCGAGGATGTGTTTGTTGGATCCGGCTTGCCTGCTCCCTCCTCATGCTCCTATCCGTGCTCCCACTTCATCCTACGGCTATCTTTTTTTCTTTTTCCTTTCTAATCTAATCATTCTCTCCTCCCTCCTTATTTTAAAAAGGTAGGACCGAATCTTATTTTGTTTCAATCAAATCAAGTCATGTACACGGGAGCACGAACGGGTGCACGCGTGGGGAGCAGGCAGATCTCGTCTTGTTATTGTTGGCCGTATGGTGCCTTAGAATGGCGGGCTTGCTCGTACACGATGTTTATCCACAGCAGACACTGCGCGTTTGCCACGTGGTACGAGAGAGACACCAACAACGAAATGAGTGCGGTTTGGACCTGGGAGAGGGAGTCTTGTGTCTCGTCGCTTGCGCCTTGTGCTGGACACCACCGCCCGGCGCAGCTCCCGAGACAGCGACCGCCTTGCTCGTCTCCTCTCGCTCTCCGTCCAAGCACACTAGTCAGAGCGAACACGTCACACGGCCCACTCAAGCCTGTCTCATTCGACCATGGACGTGCCCACGCCGGCGTGCTCGCCGTCCTCGTCGGCGCAGCCTCCGCCGTCGTCGTCAGGTTTGTCTCTCGCCGCCTGCGTTGGATTCATTCACCATCCGTTTCTTTGCTTTTTTTTACTTGGTGTATACTTGGTGTGAGAGATACAGGCGTCGATGTGGCCGTTGACGCGGGGAAAGACGACGAACGGCGGCGGCTGCTCCTCGATGCCGCCATCGACGGCAACCTCGACCTCCTCGCCAGTACGCCCCGAAACGCCTTCAACGAAGCTTGTATTATTACTACTGTAATAAATCGACTAACAATCCATCTGATATTGGGACGTCCAGGGATGGCGCTGGAGCTGCTGCCGCCGGCGCCCAGCGCCACTGGCGCGGACGCCACCGCCGGCGTCTGGTCGACGTGCGGCAGGGCGCTGCACCTGGCCGCGACCAACGGCAGGACCGACGTCTGCCGCTACCTCGTCCAGGACCTCGGCATCCCCGTCGACGCCCTCTCCGACGAGCGCGAGACGCCGCTGCTCCTGGCGGCCACCTTCGGCCACACCGCCACGGCCGCCTGGCTCCTGGAGCGCGGCGCCAGCCCGCGCGCCCCGGACGTCGACGGCGAGACCCCCCTCCACTGGGCCGCCTACAACGGTACGTACGCACGCACGGTCCTCGCCGGCCGACGCCACCTCACTCTGCTCCGCGCTCCTGTTGCTTGCTCGCGTCGAGAGAGGCAGCGCCGCCGTGGCCATGGCCATGCCGTGCCGAGCGGGCACCGGTGCGCGTGCGCGACTGACATACTGGCGCGCCCTCCGTGATGCAGGGGATCGCGACCTGGCGATGCTGCTCCTGTGCAAGGGCGCCGACGTGGGCGCGGCGAACCCCCGGGGCACGGCGCTCCACGTCGCCGCCATGCGGGGGTGCCCGCAAGTCATCCGCGTCCTGCTGCGCCACGGCGCCGATGTATGTGCGGCCGTTCCTATGGTGCGTGCATTTTGTTCATGGCTGACCAGCTTGCGATTTTGCAGCCCAACAAGTTCGCCAGCCGTGTCTTCACGCCCTTGGTCTCGTCGCTTCTTGGTGGCTCCGTGGAATGCATGAAGCTGCTCATTGAGGTGCTACATTGCATTATCTTCTGCTAATTGATCTCTAAGTTCGTGTTGATTGCACAAATCATACTACCAGTTGTTTGCGATGTCGCGGTAACGGTTTTTTGTAAGTGGCACTTGCAATGCTTGGATTGCTGGAGTTCCATAGAATTTCCGCATGCATTGCGCCTATCGAATTCCCTTGTTCTAAACTGAGACTGTTCTGGAAATGTTAACTATAGGGTGGGGCTAATGTTCACGCCGGTGGATTCAGCGGAGCGACCCCTCTGTTGTTAGCGTGCAGCCGCCGTGGCAACATCGGATTTGTCAAGTGCTTGTTGAAGGCTGGAGCAGATCCGAACATTCCTGACGAAGTGAGCATACTGAGTTTTATCCTTATGCCTGAACAAGAATGTTCCCCAGAAAACTCATGGTTTCTGTACTCTGTAACAGCTTGGTAGGTTGCCGATAGAAATCGCCGCGGTCCAAGGTGGAAAAAAACTAGTTCAACTTCTGTTTCCTGTGACTCGATGCCCTCCAAACATGTCTGGCTGGAGTGTTGCTGGCATCATGAGTTATGTGAATTCTGCTGCTTACAAGGAGCGGGTACGTCTTATTGATGTTAGTTACCAGTAGATACTAGCACTATTTACCAGCTCATCAACCCTTGCGGAGGGTCTTGTTTTAATCAGTTTCCATGCACTTGAAATGTAGCTAATTTAGTACTCCCTCTGTCCCAAAATTCTTGTCTTACATTTGTCTAAATACGGATGTATAAGTCACATTTTAGTATTAGATACATCCGTATCTAGAAAAATCTAAGACAAGAATTTTGGGAAGGAGTGAGTACTAATTGGCTTTGCTCGTATCAACACAACACTCCATGGTTATCTGGTAATTGGTTGCCGTAAAACTACTTTCTCGGTTTATAGGTGAGAAAGGATTCTTGTAAGAGGAAAGCTGAACTAAAACTAGAAGGGAACAAGGCCTACGAAATCAAGGACTACGACACGGCTATACTTATGTACAACATGGTAATTTCTTTTTTTGCTGTTGATTTTGTATGCACATGTTCAACATGATAGTATGTACAACATGGTAACAATTTTTTTTTTTCACATTTAGGCACTGAAGTTCGATGATCCAAACGACATAGACGCCTCCATATATGCAAACAAGAGTCTCTGCTGGCTGCGCCTTGGTGTCGGCGACGAGGCGCTTTCGGACGCCCAGGCCTGCATCAGGTTATGGCCTGACTGGGGGAAAGGCTACTACCGCCAAGGAGAGGCCTTCCGTTTCCTGCAGGTGATCATCGCACTGCTGTTTGCGCTTCCCTTGTGTGCTTCAGAGGTTCAGATTCAGCCATCCAATACCCACCCATCGGTCGGCCGATCCGCTCAACTAACTATTGGGTGCCGGCCTGATTTGATTCACCCTTGTTCTTTCTTGGCTCATCAACATGGCATCTAATCTGCGCTTGTGTTAGGACTACGCCAGCGCTTACGCCGCGTTTGTCAAGGCATCGGAGCTTGATCCGCAGAACCCTAAGATCGCCAACGCCCTCCGGTAATCCATTTCTGCACTTGCATCCATCGCCATCGAACAAATTGAAACTTGCGTTACAAGCGTCCTCTGCAGGGATCTCTTGGAGCGCACGAAGGGCGCCTCGGTTTCGCGGCGCCTGGAGGAAGGGGTGCAAGGAAGAAGCCAGGTTCTGTCTGGGCCGTGTGATCAAACAGTCCGAGGGCAGGGCTCATTTGTGCAGGCGCTAGGTAGAGGTCAGCCACTATCCAGTGGCCAGTAGGAAAACGGTGGAGCGGTGTGGCGGGAGTCTGATGCTGTATAGTTGTGTTTCTGGCGGGCTTTGTGGTTTGGTTTTGCGCGCCTGTTGTTGTTTAACGCGTCGTATAGCACGTCGCCTTCCCCCCAATGTGATGATCCCCCACCCTGCATAGTACCTTTTGAAACGGGCCTCGCCTTTCCCAACGTCATCATCGCACTATGCTTATGAAGGCTCTATGCTTATCGGGCCGGATAGCGGCCCAAGCCTGCTGCCACGGCCCTGCTGGAAATGTGCGCTCAGCAGCCATGAGAGAGCCTTTGTGAACAAAGAATGTCTACTGGGTAGTAGGGGTGAAAAAGCTGGAGCTCCTCCAGGAAAAAAACTGCTGAAAAAGAAACTGAGACACATGTGACGCAGCACGAAAGGCGTGGGGCTTTGTACCGCAAGGGCTCACATGCGCACAGTAGCCGCCCTGGCCTTCTTCTGCTGCCACAGTCTTCCATGCAGCCACTGGGCCTGGCTCCTCGCTCGGTCCAGTTCATCATCAGGGAAGGGGGGTTGCATTCCTACTACCGGCGGCCTCGTTGCTGCTGCTGCTGCTGCGTACGCACTCCTACTGGTATTGGTAATTGGTATGGTAGGCTTGCGTTTGGAGGCGAGCGTACGGGGGCATGTTTGTTCCGCCATCCCCATTCCCCACACGACAAAGATGCTCTCGCTCGCTTCTCGGGGCTCCCATGGCCGGCTTCACCGAGTTCGGAGTCCAGAGTCTAGGCTCCGCTTCTGCCTCGACACCACAAAACTCCATCTCTCGACCTGTTATGAGAGTAGTCTCTCTCATCCTCACTGTAGCAGTAGTTATGGTGGGTGATTAGGCATTTTAGGCGCGCAGCAAATCATGCGGATTGGCGAGCCAAAGTACACGCATAATGCATCTGCATTCATATCATAGGCTAGGCTGCCTGGATACACATAGCCGGCGTGACAGCAGGCAGCATCGCGCGTACTGCGTACATGCATGCCATTGTCGCGTCCCACCGGCCGCGGCATTTTCTCCGCGCCGGGCCATTGCTGGTTGCTGTAGCAGTAGTTGGAGCATCTACCTCCGGACTCGATAAACCCGACCCATATACGTCCGCGGACGCGTCCTCATATTTTTTCTCATGGCATTCACATATCTTAAACTCATGCAAATCCATGCGCCTCGATCATAAATGACAGTGTGACATAAATAAAAAATGTTGGTACAAATCATAGATAATGTCAGGTGCTCCGTAAAATTATTGAATAGTTGTGTGTCCACATGATGATCTCGAAGATTCTGATGCGTGTGCAGAAAGTTCATGAGTTGAGCCGCATCTTAATTTTCCAGGATTTCAACTTGTTCTTCAGGTGCTTCAAAATCATTTTGTTTGGGCTACTCCATCACCCTCGTTCTCGACAATCATATCGTGCAAAATAACACAAATACACAATATGTCATCAGTTACCAGAAAGTTTCTGATTTTCACATCATTGCAGCGCTCCGCACAATTCCTCAACAAGTTTGAAGCACACCAAGTGCCCTCTGCACATCCTTCCTAGCCGCTTCATGCATTGTTGTAAAGTGGCTCTGTTTATTGCCATGCGGTTTGGAGATGGTCTTCACAAACACCGCCTACTGAGGATAGATATTATCGGCAAGATAGTATCCCATTTTGTTGTCTCGGTCATTGACGATGTAGTTGCACCGCAGTGATTCCTCATTGCAAAGTCTCCTGAACACCCGAGATCGTTGAAGCACATTGATGTCGTTGTGAGAACCCGACATTTCAAAGAAAGCATGCCAAATCAATAAGTCATGTGGTGTCGCCGCTTCTAGTATGATGATGTCCTCTCTGGTTTGACCTTAATACATTTCCCGCAAACCTTTAGGGCAGTTCTTTCATTGCCAATGCATGTAATCAATTAATCCGAGCATTCCTAGAAACCCCCTTGCCTCTTCAATAGCCAACAACTTCTTCGTGTCCTGCGCATTCGGTTCTCTGAGATACTCAGGTCCAAACCTCCACCACGGCATGGGCAAACTTGACAGTAATCTTCAAGCACGTGCTCTCCCGCATCCTGACCCATCTCACCAACGGCGTCTGTAGTAGTACCAAGTGCAAGCATCCTCAGAGCAGTCGTGCATTTCTGCTTGGCAGAGAAAAAGAGTTGTCCGCAGCAATCTCTTGTGAGCTTGAAGTAGTCGTCGTCTGTCTCCACTCCCTCCACAATGCGCAAAAACAATGGTTTCCGCATGCGAAAACGGCGATGAAACCACGGATCATCCGGAAAGTAGGATTGAGAGCAAAGTAGTCCTTGTGCAATAGCTTTGCTCCAGACACCCTATCTCGGTTGATCACTCTTCTCCCTTTGATTGAGCACTTGAAGTTGAGAATATGATCCACTTGCCGGTCCATTTTCTCTTGCATGCTCATGAGCTTGATCATGTCCACTTTGAAGAACTCATCTTGAATCATTTGATCAAGCTCCGTCGGTCCATACTGCTCGTGCGACGAAGCATTGGAATCCATCGTTTTCCTCAATAAAATCACAAAATATCCGATCGAACAACGCGTCGAGCACATCAAGCGCAAGACGGAGCCAGAGAGTTGCCGGGCGCGTACCGGGGTGGCGTCTGGGCCGGCTACGAGGACGGGAGAGAGGACTACTCTGCCGGAGCTAGCAGCACAGAGGCTAGAAACGGTTGCGGAGCGTGTGCGGCGGCGCAGCTGCGAGACGAACGGCGTGAAGGAGGACGAAGGAAAGAGATATCAAATGGATCCGACAGGTCTTAAGGTTGATTTTGATGCAATTTACGGTGGGATCGAGCTATCAGGTCCGACGTGACGGGCGTGCCGGCCCATGCGTATGAGACGAGTTTGGGGCACCAAATCATGCTCTGCTCTTATGGTGGGATGATTAGGCGCGCAACAAATCATGCGGATTTTTGAATGTTGATAGCAACGTCTACCAAATTCATTGATTAGTGAGAGGAAACGATCGAGCTACAAGCGTACACAGGGTGAGTAGACGGCGAGCAAGCTCGACCAAAAGCCGAAAGCAAAAGCAAAGAAGAAAGAAACCGTGATTAACCGGGGTTAACAGGAAGAAAGAAATCAGCCCGGGTCAAAAGGAATGCCTGCTCCTGCCATGTTCCAAAGCTGTATCTCCTCTCTTGCTTTCTCGATGAAGCGCTCCCTGCCCAAGTATTCTTGCTGAAAAATACGTCTATTCCTTTCGCGCCATATCTTCCATGCCATAAGTTGTATGATGGACAAGGTCCCTTTCTTCCTGTCTTCTCGTGCCCTGCCATGACATGCTATTAGCCATGCTTTGATGGAGACCAAACCATCCCATGATGCCGGCAGTAGCGCCGGTGCGTATGCGAGTTGAGCGATCTTCTCCCAGGCATATCTCGACCAGGGACATTCCAGTAGCAAGTGTGTTGGGGTTTCAAGATTCCTTTCGCAGAGAAGGCAGAAATAGTTGTTCTCCCATCCTCGACGCAGCAGCGCATCCGCGGTTAAGATTTTGCCCAGCATGGCTGTCCATAGAAAGAAGCGGCATTTACCCGGGGCCCATCCTTTCCAAATGAGATTGTGCCCCTCAGGTGTCACCGAGCCTTCAAATTGAAGCAGATAGGCGGACCTGGCGGAATATTCGCGGTTTGAGGTGAACCTCCATGCAATCTCATCTGGCTGGTTAGGCAGTAGCACCACCTCGTCCAATTTTTCCGCCAGGTTAGATAGCTCCTGTAGCATATCTTCGGTCAGCCCATGAGCAAGATCGCTCAGCCATGTCTGCTCTGTGAGTGCGTCATGCACCGTTCGGTTTTTCCTTGCCGATATTGCAAATAGGGCCGGTGCTAGGATTTTTGGGCACTCCCCGTGTAACCAACGATCTTGCCAGAAGCGGGCCTTCCACCCGTCGCCGAGTTTGAGCTCCGTTGCCATGGCAAACAACATGCATTCTTTTTCGTCGCACGGTAGTGGAGACCGTGCCCAAGGGCGGGGCGGGTCCTGCCATGCCATCCACAACCATCTAAGTCGGAGCGCCGTACCAAATTTCCGTAGGTCCAAAACCCCTAGACCGCCAAGGTTTTTGGGACGGCAAATTTGAGCCCATCCCACTCTGCATTTGCCGCCGCTACACGTGCCCTCTCCACTCCACAACCAGCAGCGACATAATTGTATGAGACGCTTTAGGACCCAAGCAGGCAGCTTGTGCACCGTCATCATGTATATGGCCAATGCGGTAAGTCCAGATTTGAGAAGGATGAGGCGTCCGCTCTTGTCCATCAGCCCGCCCTTCCATGTAGCAGTTTTGTTTCCAAATTTGGTCAGGAACGGGTCAAAATCTACCTTTGTTAGATTTCTTAGGGAGAGTGGCATTCCCAGATAGGTTACCAGGAAAGACTTGCATGGGATGCGAAGGGGTGCCAGGACAAGTGCTAAGTTGATTATTGCACATCTAATTGGCAAAGCCATGCTCTTATCCGCATTTACTTTGAGACCTGAGACTTGGCCGAAGCAATGGAGAAGCAGGTGGACCATTCGGGCATCTTTTACATTGGGGTTCATGAACATGGCGACATCGTCCGCATAGAAGGAGCAACACATTAGAGGAGATCGACCAGGTAGCTTGGTGAGTAGGCCACGCGTTGTCACGAGGCTCAGCATCCTTTGTAGCGGATCCATGGCCAAGATGAACAGGAACGGGGAAAGCGAATCACCCTGCCTTAGCCCTTGTCGGTGATGTATGGCGTCAGTGAGCTGCCCATTCATAATCACCCGTGACGTGGATGTCCGGAGCAACATGGCAATCCTCTCGCGCCGACGCGTGCCAAAGCCTCGCGCCTCGAGCATGTCCAGGATGTAGGGCCAGGAAAGGGAGTCGAAGGCCTTCGCGATATCCAACTTTAGCAGGATTGTAGGCTGCTTCGCTTTGTGTAACTTTTTAATCGTGCTTTGTATGTACAGGAAATTCTCCTGTATGCT